GAGGGTACGCTCGGAAAAACGAATCCTCACGCATCAGAGAGGGCAAACCCTCACTCTCCAGAAACTGAGTTCGAGCTGTTTGGCTTGGCCGCCAAAAAGCACTTAGCACGTATTCCCGCTCCGCTAACTTCGGTTTCTTTGTCAGCGCGAGGTACAACGTGAAGAAAAGACAAAGTACACACAAATCCTTTCTGTACTTAAATCAGCAGTACAACCCCAGCTTTTTTCGCTCAACTTGCAATGCTGCCAAACTTTCCCATGTGTTACAAGACTCTAAACGGGTCTCTCAAAAAATCAAGACTCCTGCTACAGAGTTTAGGTTGAAGGGCACATAGTTTGGAATGAGGCCCCGCAAAGGGTCTTAAATAGATTCCACATGAGCACAAGACGCAAGCACCTACCCCAGGCTGCACTGTTAGGTACAAGCTATAAGGTAAACAGCAAAACACTAAGTGAGTAGGAAAATGAGGAAAAGTTAGCAGGAGGGAAAAACCAGGATCAACATACTGAAACTAACGTCACAGCAGCAGAGGCAAAATTTCTTTTTCCCTCCTCCTCTTCTCCCCCCCTCTGTATGGTAGGATTATTGTTGTACCAGAGGTAAGGCAACATCCCAGCGCGTGCTGAGCCTGCTACCAGAAAAAGGCTGCCGGGGAAGAGGGTTGATGATAACTCGTTCAGGACAGTAGCAGGGAAGCAGGAGAGCAACCAGAGCAAAGGAAGGCAGAGGCAGTCCCTTCTCTCGTTTTAAAAGAAGTTGTTACCATGCTGGAAAAATACAATAAACCTGAGCTCCTCACGTCCTAACTCACCGTACTCCAAGAGCCTGAGTGCAAGGAGACGCACTGTTCAGCAGCACTCACGGCAGCTCTGCGAGGCTGCGGGTCTCAGCAAGCGCCCTGTGCTCCCCCCGTGCTGGGCTGCAGCGGCCTCTCCGCGTGCAACAGCACCCCCCAGCGCAGAAACCCGCTCCCCACAGCCCGGCGGCGAGGCAGCCTGCCTCAGACTTCGCTGTAAGAACTGCTTTCGAAGTAAATGTCTGCCTTCCGATAGCGTTACAGTTGCCAGGAAATATCTCTGAGACTTTGTTAAAGTTTTCAGGGGTAACAAAACATACCGCTGCTTTGCAGCAGGACAAAAAGTTGGTGGGCATAGATCTGTCACAGGTGTAACGGGTTGGGAGGGAAAGATGGAGCTTTGCATATTTACATCTTTTCAACCTATAGTCTCCTTATCTTTAAGTATACTGAGATTCAAGTCCAGGATCTGAATCCAAAGAAGGGACATTTGCCTCTACTCCTCGCATCCCAGGTAAGCGGCTTGAGCCCCGAGCCTGTGGGTATGCTGAGTACTTGAGGATGAAGAACACACATTCCTCTTCAGTTTTGATGAAAAACTTTAGCCTAAACACAAAATACTTCACAGAACTAACACATTTTCTTAATCAAAATATTTTCATATCAACACTCCACCTCCCCAACCAAGCTCCACTGAAAACCTCTCCAGCCAGCCCAGAAAGAAAGCTTAACCAAAGGTCTTTTTAATGAATTCCTAACAATGGCTGCGGATGGAAAGCTGCCAGCAAAGTAAATTGTTAATTCTCAAGCTTAACCTTATCAGGATCAGTTTTCAAAATAACAACAATCAGGAAAAGATCCTAAAATTCTTTCATTCAGAATTCGTAATTCAGTAGTGAGACATTGATTTGCGTCCTCTACAGCTACACACGTTCATCATTTCTGGAGGAGTCAGAATGCAGTACAGACACTTTTCAGCTCAGTATCCTCAGAAAGTAAGGCTTAGGCAATCATGTCACAGGTCCATTCAACCTTTGTAATTTATTTCATTGATGATTTCAATGATTTTGTTCATATGAAGTTATTTGAAAATAGGCTACTGGAGAAGAGGCCATTATTAGCATGCTTATCATGGGCAATGCTGCAGCATGAGTTTGTGTTTTATAAGACATCAAAAAAAGGGAGAAGACATTATAAATGCTTTAATTATAGGAAAATCTTCCACCAAGAGCCATGTTTTATTATGTATCAGAAAACCTATTCAGCCACCAAGGTTTCTCTCTCGTCTCTTACAGATTAAAGCCGTTTGTAACTTTTCATGATATTAAAGTATCCATGTTTCCTTTTTTTTGTATGGCACGTTCACCATAAAGAGTAATTTATAGAAAACTGGTTTATTTTGTCCCCAAGCTGACAAAACTGTTTCTCTTACAGGGCCCAAGGGAGAAGGAGCTCTGTTTTACCACCACTTCCTATGCTGAGGCACTTCTACATTGTTCGAGTTGATGTGTAAATTTTTGCCAGTGTTATCACTAGCTACAGAATCACTAAATAGTGTAAAAATGCTCTGCATTGAGCTAGTACATCATCCAGCACACACCACTAACATACAGGCACTCTACCATCCTTAGGCCTTCTGTATGAAATGAACAGTGTCAATATACTTGCAGATGACTATAAACAAATCCTTTTCAAGTTCCAAGCACAACATGTGGGCAAAAACACGTGCCTTTATGTCTGCGTAAGCCCTTGTATGCCCAGTTGTGTTGTACCTCTCTAAGTCAAA